TTTGATTTAATTGAAGATCTTTCAAGCGAATTTCCTCCAAGTGATGAGTTACAGCTAGAGCTTGACCAGTATGTGCTAGAATTGAAACAGTTTAAAAAATCAACTGCACTACAACAAATGAAGGACGCAATAAAGCAAGTACCTCTACCACATGAAGCCTCAGAAGCACATTGTAAAATTGTCATAAAATTGACTGGGAGCTGGCGTGATAAAACAGTTAAAAGTCTTGAAAACCTCATTCAGTACCTTTTTGAACGTGATGCAAAGCGTGCTGAACTGATTGAAATTCATGAAGGATCAATCGTTGTTACATTTCTGGCTTTTTCAACAGCACAGTCTCTTATTGATAAAGTACAGAATAAGATGCAATTTATCCAGTATCTTGGTATATTTCAAATAATGATTAACGGTGACATTGTCATAAAAAGAGAGGAAGATATTAACTTCACTTTTGAAGATTCACTGTTACATGCCATCAATCATATTGACAGTCATGCTGAATATGAGAAAGTGGCACTACTTCTGATAGAACTTAAAATAAAGCTAAATTACAAAAACACTGATGGTCAGACTGCATTAATGCTAGCCAGTGAAGGTGGACACATTAAAATTTTCAAATCGTTACTACAAAACAGTGCCAATCCATTTATACAATTACCAGCCAATAAAGGATATGTTGGATTAAACCATTTAGCATGTACTGCTCTCTCTGAGCATATATACAAATCAATTGGAGGAAAAAGAATAAATCCACAAGATGACACTTCAATTAGAGAGATGCTGGAAATGGCTGTTAAAGAAAGAGGAGTGAGTAGTCATTTTTATGATTCATTTGTGCATGTCATTGAAAATAAAATAAAAGAAAAGTTTCAACGGCTGCAAGATTGTTTTCATGCATTAAACTGTAGCTTCATTGATGCTGCCACCAATATTTTAACCAGCAAAGCCTTGGTAAAAGAAGCAAAGCAAAAGTTTCAATTATATATCAAAGAAGATGCTACTTGTGAAAATGCTCATCAACTAGTGCAGTTGCTCCAACCTCATTACTCGTGTTTGAACATTGACCTTCTCACAATACCATGTACTATCACAGAACCTATCAAGGAACAGGTAGAAGAATACAATACTAACCTGAAGATGTTCAAAGATACCACTAGCCTACTGGAGCTTGCAATGATGACTAAAGGAATGCAATGTCCTGATGGTGTTGGCTGTTCAAAATTAATTTTAAAACTCAACAAGCCATGGTGCTCCAGGACAATCACTGAATTAAATAAATTAGAAAATTTTTGCCTATTAGATCTACATACTTTATCATTTCTAAACCTCACTGAAACCCATTACAATTCTTCCAGCTACACCTGTACATATTTCTTGCCCCAATCATTACAAACTGAATCATTAATGGCAGCAGTTTTTGATCAGGAAGTTTCTCTTTATAAGATCGGTGTATTTATGGTTATGATTGATGATATTCCAATTATAATGAAAGATGAAGATAAGTCATTTACTTTTGAGGCTGCACTGCAGGAAGCACATCAAACTAATAGTGAAAATGTCCTTTTTTTCCTATTAACTGAACTCAACATTAGTTTATCTTTTGAAAATGATACTACGGACCTCGACACTGAAGATCCCTTTGCTATTGGATTGTTACTAGGAATTGGATCAGATCTTAACATTCGAAACAGTAATGGATTGACTCTTTTGATGTTTGCTAGTCGCAATGGACAATATAAGGTTGTTAAACTCTTACTGAGTGAAGATGTAGATATTGACATTCAAGATAATGATGGAAAGACTGCTTTGATGCTTGCTAGTAGTAATGGACATCACGAGGTTGCTGAACTCTTACTGAGTAAAGATCCAGATATTAACATTCAAGATAATGATGGAGGGACTGCTTTGTTGTATGTTAGTCTCAATGGACATCACCAGGTTGCTGAGCTCTTACTGAGTAAAGATCCAGATATTAACATTCAAAATAATGACGGACTCACTGCTTTGATGGCTGCTAGTGGCAATGGACATCACCAGGTTGCTGAACTCTTACTGAGTAAAGATCCAGATATTAACATTCAAAGCAATCGTGGAGGGACTGCTTTGATGTTTGCTAGTGTCAATGGACATCACCAGGTTGTTGAACTCTTACTGAGTAAAAATCCAGATATCAATATTCAAAGCAATCATGGAGAGACTGCTTTGATGTTTGCTAGTCTCAATGGACATCACCAGGTTGTTGAACGATTACTGCATAAAGATCCAGATATTAACATTCAAAATAATGTTGGAGGGACTGCTTTGATGATTGCTAGTGCCAATGGACATCACCAGGTTGTTGAACTATTACTGCGTAAAGATCCAGATATTAACATTCAAAATAATGATGGAGGGACTGCTTTGATGCTTGCTAGTGCCGATGGACATCACCAGGTTGTTGAACTATTACTGCGTAAAGATCCAGATATCAACATTCAAAATAATGATGGACGGACTGCTTTGATGATTGCTAGTGCCGATGGACATCACCAGGTTGTTGAACTATTACTGCGTAAAGATCCAGATATCAACATTCAAAATAATGATGGACGGACTGCTTTGATGCTTGCTAGTGCCGACGGACATTACCAGGTTGTTGAACTCTTACTGAGTAAAGATCCAGATATTAATATTCAAAATAATGATGGATGGACTGCTTTGCTGTTTGCTAGCTGCAGTGGACATCACCAGGTTGTTGAACTCTTACTGAGTAAAGATCCAGATGTTAACATTCAAATTAATAATGGAATGACTGTAGTTCACATTATTCTACTTTTCTCAAAAACTTATTATAGTTTTCTTTTTGCAGAAGATACATCTGATGCATGTACTCAGTTCCTTGACCGATTAAACTCTGGTAATTATCTTAAAATATTGGAACTTTTACTTAACTCTCATCCTAATCATATTCACAATGTTGATGGTGAGAAGCTTCATTCATTAGCAGTGGCAGCAGGATTCAATAATTTTGATGCAGTTACAATTTTGATGAAGAAATGTGACATTGCACCTGAACACATCATTAGCGCCTTTACCTGTGCATGTTATTTAGGTCACTCTTCAATGATACTTCACTTGTCTGAGAAAATAACAACTCTTCCAAGTAATGAGAGAAGATTATTAGTAGCAGCTGCTGAAGGAGATTTAGGAACATTAATTAGTATGATTTATGAAGTTGGTATAAGTCCAGATACTCCACTGGTAGCTGGTATAATTCCATTAATGATAGCAGCTTCATGTGGACACATTGAACTAGTTGATGCATTAATACAAGCTGGAGCTGATGTTAACAAAAGAAATGATGAAGGAATGAATGCACTGGATATGCTGAGAGTTAATAAGTTTTACAATCGATCTGATGTTAAAGAGCTACTAATTATTAACACTCCAGCTGTTGAACCAAATCTTGTATCAAGCAATGATGAGACTACTGATCCAGTGTCAAACAATGCTGAGACAACTAATAAGAAATCCAGTACTGTTGCTGCAATCAAGTCAATATTTGGAATGTTTAGTTCATTTATGAAGAAAGCTTACAATCCACAGTACAGCAAGCAAAAAGAACTGAAGATACCTTATGGAATGGTAACTGATACACCAAATTCAGCAATGTCAAGTAATATGGCCCAGTTTGTGCCTTAATCAATCAATGATTGCTACCTTTTATTATGCTGTTATTGTTGTACATGTATTATTAGAGACATACATGTACATGTACATGTAGTTTTCACTCTTAATATTTCTAAATAATATGTACACATACATGGGTGTGTGTGTAGCTGAACATGAACATGTATAGTTAGCTAAATGTATAATGAATACTGTATTGTTTTTACATTATTAGCTGATTAATAGTGCAATGCACCAGTACTTTTTTGTGACAATAATAGTTACTTTTGATTAATATTAAGAAAATTTTAAAAATTAAACTTATCAACGTGCATACCAGTACTACTAATAATAATACGTACACATTATTATTAATGTTATGATTCTGTTCCTCCACTCCTTGTTATTCTTTGAATACTTTCAAGTGCATCAATAGCCTCCAGTGAACTCTCACATACACTATCAAACTTATCCTGCAACTAATAGCAACAATTATTACAATCAGTAAAAATAAAAAATAGCACATGATTACTATTATACAAGTAGAAATACAAGTACACCAAAGTAAAGGTTTAAAAGTCTACTATTATGTATGGTTTATTCAGCTTGATAGCTGCTGAACTGTCTTTAAATGCCATAGCCTAGGCTATCTTATAGATCTCAGGAAGTACATTGTACACATATTCATTGCTTATTTTAGTAATGCCATAGGAGAAACCTAATCTACATTACATACTTACTTGTTTCAACAGTTTTCCTCCTTCTCTTGTAACTCTCTTAGTTTCTTTATTATTATTTGCTGACTCATCAGTTTTTATCACATATCTTGACTCTAGCATGTCTGCTAGGTTTGTTTCTATGGTAACCTCATGAGTCTTCACATCAGTCAGTACAGTTTGTATTAGTTCTTCTTTTCTACTCACAGCTGCTCTGTCATCATAAACCTCTTGAACTGGCTGCATTGTAGAAAAGAAACACCATATTAAATGCAATGATCAATGAGACACTGTTAATTGGTGGATCAATGATCACTGCATTTAATGGTGTTTCTTTTCTCAATGTGATCATACAGTGTACTATACATATACATGTACATTATGGTACAGTATTAATGTATGCATTTAAAATCTCATTGTGTGGTAATGATGAATTCTGATGCTACACAATGTGCAATGTGTGTGGGAGTATGGCACTAGCTGATAGACAGTGACTGCTGAGTAATAGTGATTAGGACTTAATGTGTTAACTAATTAAGATTTTGTGTTAAATTATTATTGTTACTATGTTTAGTGTCATTACACTTATGTAATGATTTAATTTTGATTTTTGTATAAAAGGAGCTTGTGCTCTGTACTCTTTTGTCTGTCATTTTGTCTGTCGTTTTGTCTGTAGTTTTTTGCTGTAATATAATCTTTGATCTTAACCGATCGTATATCCCGCGGCAAGTGCATTTATACCAATAATGTGTTCTATACATTATGATTAAATGTACTGTACATTTATACAGTGTACATTAATCTATTATTAGAAACTATATTTAGTAACAATACAATGGTGTATATTAGCAACAGTGTATAAATAAATTCATTTAATATTTGTTTTTAAATTTATTATATTACTATTACTGCTATTAGATGTAAACCAACAAGATCAGAAAAGAAAACTCAATATTAGTCTAAGTGTACACTGCTATACTATGTCCCAACTGAGAATGGACCGGAAGTGGAAGCAGCTGCATTGGAATTTGAAAAATGTATCTACGTCACTAATGACGTATTATAATGATATTCATAGAGACATGGCCGATATTTTGGCTATCTTGTTTCACTCTTAAAACAGTCTTGCTCTTCCTGATAAGCAGTACAATAGCTACTGGAGTCAACTAGTCTTCATAAAGGCCATCATTATCAGAAGATCTCGCTCTGTTAGCTTCTTAAAAGAAGAATTATCAGTTTGGGCGCTCGACCTTATGTGCTTATGTAAACTGTGACATCATAGAACATCATTGCGGTTAGCTTTGGTATGCCGTTGGGTTTAT